ATATATATTTATTTTTTTTTTTTTTTTCCGGAATTTTCAGAAAAGTCCACTTTCATCTCTGCTTTATTAATGGTTTTCACAGTGTCAACAAATACAGGTACTGTTCGTCTTTGTCCGTCTCCGTGCCTTCTCTCTTCCGTTCCACTTGAGAGGCGTTCAGGCCGCCTCCGAAAAACTAATGATTACTTCAATGAAACTACAAAGAAAATCAAGCGAGGAAATCACAAAATAAATTCTGTAGGGGGGATATAGAATTTATTTTGTGATTTCCTTGCTTGATTTTCTGTTTTTATGCATAATTTTCAATTTTCATAGTTTCATTTAAGTGCAGTAATAGTTAATTTATGTTTTTCAGAGGTGGTCATGAACGCCTCTCGAGTTGAACGGACGCCTCTCGAACCACAAATATCACCCACGAGCGTAGCACCATCTTGTGAAGGCATTGTAGATTGCGCCTTATAATGCGATGTGTCCAATGTATGAAAAAAAATTACAAAATAGCCATTCATTGAAGGTGCGCCTCATAATCCAGTGCGCCTTTTTAGTGCGGAAAATACGGTAAACATTAAAGTCAGAGGGACAATAATAGAGATCTGGACCTCGATAGACTCAGTCATTTATGGACATTATGGGATAATAAAATGACACAGCAGAACTAAAAACACAGCTACTATTGTTCATTGCTCATCAATCCTCACAGCATACATGTTTGTGCTGTTTTAAGACCCGCTTCTTCCATCCAATCTGTGAGCTTTCCTCCAAACCAAGAGAGAGGACTCCTCCTGGGGTGTCGTTGGCCAAGAGACTATTACCACTGTGCCTGCTGGTGCCCAATCTGCTCAGGATTCAACCAAGCCAGCGAGCCTTGACTCACACTGTGACCAAATGTAGTTCTGAACTGAAAGCCGAGTCAGAACAGGAGATAATTACGTTTGACTTGGTTGCTGAAATTTTTGATACAGTTCTCATAACAGACACTCTGTTACGAGAGAATCACTTGATGAGTGACTTAATCAAGGAAACTGATTTAACAAACGGTCATGAAGGGAGACTGACCTGAAACTGAAGAGATGAGCATGTGGTGTGGGCACTCCACCCAGGCTCGATAGATGGACCAGGAAGTGGGTTGGTGGAGACACACACAATGTGGAGACACCTTGCTCCTGGTTGGCTCGTTCATTCTGGCCATTAGTCCGTGGGTGATGTCCAAAGCATAGACTCGCCGTGGCTCCCAAGGCTTGACAAAAATGTTTCCAAACCTTTGACACAAATTGCGGGCCCTGGGTCCACATAAGGTCCACTGGGATCCTGTGAATCCGAAACATGTGGGTGATCAGGAGCTTGGCGATTTCAAGAGCTGAAAGGAGTTTGGGCAGAGCCAAGAAATGGGCTAGCTTAGAAAACTTATCAACAACGGTGAGTATGACGGTTTCCCAGAATCGATGAAAGCCCTAGTGTAATTTTGTTGGTGTGATCAGCTATCACACCCACTATCTCCAGCCTGTTAGAACGTCTAGTATTGTCAATCACTCGGTTCGATTCCGACAGTATCAGGTCGAACTTAAACTGGTTCTGGCAATCATCAGTCACTATCCGACTTACAGTTGCCGAGCTGGGTGGGTTGGCGTAGAAGCAGGCACCCGTTTAGACTCGTCACCTCTCCTCCAGACTCAGTCGACCAACTCCCAATTGCATCGGTTCTTCCACTGGGGTGGTAGGCACAAGGCTTTGCTGGCATTCTGGATGGGGGTTTCACAATCGATGTGGGTACCCCCACGTCATCCGGGGGTGTCCCATTACACGCTCCCAGTGTATCTCTCTCTCTCACTTGATTGTCTAGACGTACGGCCAAACCGATGAGTTCCTCCAAGTGAGAAGAATCGTCTCGGATGGCCAGCTTGTCTTGAATAGGGGAACTCCGACCATGGCTGAAAATGCTGCATAGCGCGTAGTCATTGAAGCCACTCTCCATCGCAAGTATGCAAAACCTGATAGAATAGTCAGCCACAGATTGATTCACCTGAACACAGTCAAGGAGTTGGGAGTGGAACCCGGGTTGTGGAAACTCAGCAATGAACTCTGGGAAAGAGGACCAGAAAGCCGGTCATGTGTTGCTCACGGCCATAGCCCAAGAACTGGCGTGGTCAATCAAGAGACTCATAAAAAATAAAAATAAAAAAAAAGCAACTTCGGTGCTATCATGGTTATAAATGGAGGGTTGCTGGTCAAAAATGAGACTGCACTGACATAGGCCAGGTTCAACTCCACAGCATGACGGATGATGATGATGATGATGATGATGATACCGACTGCTGTCAGATTCAGATTCAGAAAACTTTATTCAGGCTGCTGAATAAACATACGTGAAAACCTATAACCATTGTAAATAGCACAGCCACCTTATGCTGTGTTTTCTATTCTATTGCTAATTTATTATATTTATTCTACAAATATACTGTATTGCTAATGCTATATTTTATATTGCACTTTTATTGAACTGTGTACAGTTCTTTCTGAAACATTTATTTTGTGCAATGAAACACTGTTTTTTTTCTTGCCACCCAATTTTGCTGCTGTAGACTGCAAATTTCCCCAGTGTGGGACAAATAAAGGTTATCTTATCTTATCTTATGATGATCAGGTGCGTGCTTGGAAGAAACGCCCTCCGATCCCGCTGACTACAAGAAAAAAACAAAAAGAACCATGACAAAAATAAAATAACTCAGTGAAATACAAAGAAATGGACCAATCAGGAATCATAAATACGCCTTATAATGTAAGGATAATATTTTTTAAAATTATGATCCTACATTCGGCTGTAGCGTCATTGCTACTTGCAAATGTGACTTATCAAACGACACAATTGATTGCTGCTTTCATCCGGTGTCTGCCGCCTAGTTATTAGTGACCAAACTGCTCATCTTTACGTGGAAAGGTGATGTGGTTGCATTTTTCTGCTTTCCACTTGATCTTTTGGGTGCTACTTCTTCAAGTGATTCAACAGGCTTTTCGTAATGCCTTGTTTTTGATGACATACCATGCACAACCGTTTTCTCCTTCATGCCCCTCTGGAGAAACCGCTAGGGGAGGAACTTCTCTCATCAAAATAGCTTCATCTTCGGAAGTCATGGCTGCCCTTCAGCTGCGTGTTTAGCTGTATGTTTGCTCAATTTGTTATCATTACTTTCTGTTTACTGCTTCTGCTTCTGTATTGGCGAATTCTGTTTATTTCAACATGCAAACCGATGTTAGAAGGAGGACTCCAACTGGATAGCATCATGCACATTTCCGCCATATCTGAAGGAGTAAATTTGCTCACAGCTCGCAGGTCTGTGTCTCTGCGGCCCAGTACCAAATAGGCCTTGGCCTGGTACCAGTTTGCCTGTATTGGGTTTGCCAGTACTGTAAATAAGCAGGTAATCGAAGCAGAAAAAAAGCCTTTTCGAACCGAGATATCTGAATTCCTCAAGGACTAGTTTTTTCCCTATATAAAATGATGTGAAAACCATTCAGCTCACGATGTGTTTTTCTCAGCACAAATCAAACTTGCGAGTTTATTTTTCTTAAATTATTGAATTAGTCCCAAATGTGACAACACTTGCTGTGTTTAAGCTCCACTCCGTTCGCAGCCATCTTGTTCGTGGAATCAGTGCAGATCAGCGTGTGGGACAGACTTCGAATTACAGTGTAGTAAAATAGCTAAAAACAATTTCTCCTGACAAATTGATTTGATTGATCATTTTCCAAGTAAAAGGTCGTCACACAAACACGTCACTGCAGCCATTCCTGTCAATGTTCACATACTATGCCATCCACTTTCATCTGTCTTTCACTCAATTTTAAGGGAGCTCTAATCTGGAGAATGTCATTGCCAAATGTTTTCAGCACCTTTTCTCCCCCTTTTCTACGTCTTGCTTTGCTTTCTTCTCCCCGTATCTGTCCACTGTATAAATCTCAAATTCAATGTCTATATGTCCTTTTCTTTTCATGTTTATTGGATTCCTCCTTTTTTCTCTCGCTCCACCACCCTACTCACTTCTCCCAATTCTCACTGCAACCTGGACTGCATGACACAAAGGAGGACAAAGTGGTTAGCATCTTTTTCTTGTGTTCTCTGTGTGATGTGACTGTAATGTTTTATTACTTCAAAGTGAAACCACTGCTGGCATTAAATGTAGACCAAGAGCACCTTCACTCTAGGATTCACATTTGATTTTTTACTCTTCTTTTACTCTTATTGAAAAATAGCAAAGGCATAGATGTGTGTTTGGAGGGTTGCTAAGTGTACAGTGTGATGCTTTACTCTTATAGCGTCACTCCATGTAGTTTTGTCAGTGTTGGTTTATCAGGAGTGAAGACTCCTGCTCTCACAATTCAGAAATTTCACCCATGACTAATACTACGTTTATTGTTTGTCTCCTCCTCCTGCAAAGTGTATCATAGTGAAGGATAGGGTAAGGCCTGCTGGGTGATGGACTTGATGCATGACTTTCATGATTTCCCTTCACATTTGGCTCTGTATTCATTCACAGATGTGTGGATAAGAATCCAATCCAACTGTCTTTAAGAAATGGAAGGTCAAGGTGTCCCATCATTGATCTCATTCTGAGAATGAATGCAGACCCTGAAATTTCAATTGGCAAAGTGAGCATGAGCACTGACATAGGATATCTGCCGGGGCAGTGACTCTTCTGACAAATCCTGACCCTTTCCAACGGCCGCAGGCATGACAGTCCCGGGGTGGGAGGTTTGAGGGAATTTTGATAAATGTATACATCTTTTAAAATGTCGGGTTGGGAGATTGACATTTTCCTGGCATGGAACTAAACTTTGATGTTAATGCGTAATGTACACTCATGCCTGTGCATGCTGCCCCTGCTTGTTTTTGAAACCAGCTCTGCTTTGAATTGGACCGTGTGTATAATATCTAAGGTACTGTACATGTTGCTATTTCAGAACAATAATAACTTTTTGCACTGGTTGCAATGGTGTGTCCACATTTTATTTACTTGGTGCGCAACACAAAAGTTAGGTGCACTCCAATTTTCAACAGCATCACAAGCCATAGTTTTTAAAACCATTTTTTAAACTGGAATGATATATTTTCCCAGAAAATTGTGATAAATGGTACATGATAAAGATGGCCCGGAAAGTCCAGTGGTTAGCACGTTGACTTCACAGTGCAGAGGTACCGGGTTCAATTCCAGCTCTGGCCTCCCTGTGTGGAGTTTTCATGTTCTCCCAGGCCTGCGTGGGTTTTCTCAGGGTACTCCGGTTTCCTCCCACATTCCAAAAACAGGCCTGAAGATTTCGGAAATTCACGGTAACCGTTTTTCGGTTCCGTCAGATTACCCAATGGGAAACCACGGTAACTAATTTTCGGTTCCGTAAATGTTCATCATGGGAACCCATTTTTCTATTTTGACTGATATTCATAATCAAGAATTCTGATACTCAAAGTATACTGTTTAAAGGGTAAATGTTTGAAAACTATACATTAACAATGAACAGTACATCAGCAGTTGTGTACTCCAGGTTTATTCAACAAAAAAAATGGATCAAAATATGTTGTAATCATATGGCATCATGAATACAGCATACCACAAAATCAGAGTATTTTTTTCCAGTCTCACACTGCAAAGATTAACTTACTGGTAATCATTAATACAGGTAAGTATTGATGTGGCTTGACGTCCTGTTCCCAAGATGATGCATGTGTAATCTACTATCAATTTGACAAAAGAATCTACCACATCGTTAGTTCTACTGACAGTTAACATTAGCATTACTATACCTTGTGACGAATGTTTTATTCATAAAGTTACCATGCTACAACAAGTAAATTATAGAATAACCAAGACTGTTTCATAACATTTTTCATAGCGATTAGCCTATAGATCAGGGGTGTCAAACATACGGCCCGCGGGCCGGAACCGGCCCGCAAGTAGGTTCAATCAGGCCCGCAGGATAATGTAAAAGTGAAAAAAATGCATTAAAGACACAGAATTAATATTTTTAATCAGGTGCAATTCATTGAGTATCCGCAAGGGGACACTGTTTTGATCAGAGAAGAAGACAACAGCAGCCTCAGTCTGTCACTGAGACAGACCCATGACAGCAGACGCTATCAATAGCACTCTCACATTTACACATTTAATAGCACTCTCCTTAGTTTGTAAGGTGTAGGCAGGGATTACATTTAGATTTTATATGCACGTGTAAATGCTTTAAAACTTGCTTTCTTTATGAATCTTGTTTAATCTTAAAGTGCATTACTATATTTTTCAATACCAATTACTTGTTAAAGTTTGTACAATCAGTGGGATCAGTTGCAATGCATATATGTGAATGATAAAAGTAAATTGCACATTTGTCCCACTTGACATCTACCAAGGCCGTATGTGGCCCACCATGTGAAATGAGTTTGACACCCCTGCTATAGATCAAATGACCAACTTCAATACTTCCTCCCGTGCAAGATACAACGGGAGGCACGATTCCGAGGGAAGTATTCTTGTGTTCTGTGCATACGTCACAGGTGAGTTTAGTGATACGCCCTTCGGACGATTCATACAAAAAATCTGACTGGCATTCCCATTTCTTAAATGTCGTAATTAGTAGACCTTTTTTCGCCGCCATCTCAAACTGTCATCCGCGCGCTTTCTCCGTTTGCGGACTAAAATAGCAACCCGCATGCGCACATGACGTTATCTGTTCCGCCCCCCCCCAACACTGAAAAAAACAAAACGAAAGTAAATTAGAAGAAACACACTCACAAACCACACCACAAACACGCATACAGGCACAGTGAAATCGCGTTGATCACACAGGAGAGATTCGATCACGTACAGTCAACTCATGTGCTGTGACTTTTATGGGAAACGATTTTTCAGTACCGTCAAAATGACACCACGGAAACGACACGCTACCGGTAACGATTGTTACCGTGAAATCCTCAGGCCTGAAAAACATGCCGAGCAGGCTGATTGAACACTCAAAATTGTCCCTAGGTGTGAGTGTGAGCCTGGATGGTTGTTTGTCTCTATGTGCCCTGCGATTGGCTTGCAACTGGTTCAGGATGTCCCCCACCTACTGCCCGAAGACAGCTGAGAGAGGCTCCAGCACCCCCCGCGACCCTTGTGAGGATAAGCGGATCAGTAAATGGATGGGTGGATGATACACGATAAAATTGCTCAAGTAATTTTTACAAAGTCAAATTGTTTTCCTTCCAAGAGATGCACAGGATGTGAGTGAGTGCAGCATGCAAGAATTTTTATTGTTATTATTATTATTTATTTATTTTTTGCAAACATTGAACGAAAATGGATCATACAATGTTAAAGTTTCACGTGAACAATCGATTTGTAGTGCTCTTTCAGTCAAACACAGGAAGTATGTGTGTAGTATTAACCACACAAGAAAAGGGAAAATATGTACACATTGCGATAGTGCATGCAAAACTGTATGTGTTGTCAAAAAGTAAGCAAAACCCATCATTTTCAATAAACAAAAAAATACAGAGAACACTTTCCCTTCAAGGAGTTAATCATGTCATGAAAATTGAATTAACAGCTGCAATTGCCATCGAATTGGTGGATGGAAGCATCTAAGAATGCACTCTTTTTTTAAGGGTGGCAAATTGGTCGATTACTCTGTTGGCACTAAGTGCATCGAGGCTCATGACATGACTTTGCTCTGTAATACTTTTGAAGTTGCAGAGATTACATTTCGGTGCATGTGTCCCTAAAAGGTTGAAGGAAAACTTTACTGAATGAAATTTAAATTGAATAAAAGTATTATTAATGTCGTAGTCATATCTTGGATGGGATCATTTGTCCTATATTTATCTCTTGGCTCTCTCTACCTTCGAATCATTACATTCCCAAATAAATTGTTATGTAATATAAGTCTTATAGGATGCACTTTGCCCGAAATGCTTCATATTTCACATCCACGTTGAGTTCGATATGATTTCTAGACTTCCTTCATCACTAATGGATCTATTATGTGAAATCCTTTATGCTCATATTTTATAAATATGTCACTGTTTTAGTTGCTATCTCAATTAATGCCCTGATTCCTATACTGCAGTTCAATATGGACCGTGGAGTGACATCATTACTCCATTGTTGTTATTGTTATTATTATCCACGGATGACAATCATAAGTGAATGAGCTCAGCTATGTTTCATGGTGCATTAAGTTCACTCTCGCATCTCTTTCATTCTCATGTAAACAGCCAGGAGTTTCACAATGCATTTCAGACTACAGTACCGGTACCAGTAATTAACAAGCTATCCAGGAGGAGCATGGGACTTTTCTGATGTGATGCACGTGGTAACTAATTGTTACTATGAGCCAGCGTCTGTACAGGCAGTGTCTAATATAGTCACAAGGGTGTTGTTGGGCTGTACTTGGAATGAAAAGGACAGCCGAAATTATTACAGGCAGCTTTCTTTGCTGATTTTAAATGGACTAATACAGTGCTATTTATTTTAAAAAAAGAGACTACAGTTTGATACACTGCACACCAAACCATGAACACAGTATCAAGCAATTCGATACAGACACATGTATCCCTAACACAGAGAGAGAGAGAGAGAGAGAGAGAGAGAGAGAGAGAGAGAGAGAGAGAGAGAGAGAGAGTGTGTGTGTGTGTGTGTGTGTGTGTGTGTGTGTGTGTGTGTGTGTTTTATGGAGTTACAAGCACCCAAGAGGAAATTTGGAGCACAAAAGCTTGCTTTACTACGAGATATTTTGACTGGTTTTTGTTCCCTTTTGATAGTTTGTGTTTAATTTAATTTTTATCTTGAATCAATTTTATTGTTTTTTCCTGTTTTAAAGCCATAAAAAATTAATAAATCATCAATTGACGAATATAAAATACAAACTTTGTGATTTGCCCATACAGGACATTATGTTTAAAAAGACATGAGTGTACAATATTAAAACCTCACTGCTGGGAGATGACTTTCAGGCCCGTTCTCCATCCCAAGTTGGTGACACGCGATTTCGGGGCCGGAGTAGGTAGTCTCTGCCACATTATAAAAATATCAATCCCACACATCTAAATAACATTATAAAAACTATAGGGTTAGATGGCACAATGGATGTTTTTAAATGATACTATCCATCCATCCATCCATTATCTGATCTGTTTGTCCTTACATGGGTCGCGGGCGTGCTGGAGCCTATCCCAGCTGTCTTCCGGCAGCAGGCTGGGGACACCCTTAATTAGTTGCCAGCCAATCGCAGGACACACAGAGACGAACAACCATCCGTTCTCACACTCACACGTAGGGACAAATTTAGGGCATTCAATAAACCTACCATGCATCATTTGCTGATGTATTTGGAAACCTGAGTACCCGGAGAAAACCCACGCAGGCACGGGGAAACTCCACACAGGAAAGCCGGAACAGGAATCAAACCATGCATATCTGCACTGTGAGGC